TGGACCCTTGTATTAGGGCATATGTAATTTATGTTATTAGTTGTTTTTTGACTCCCCCGATAAATTCTAGATCAGTGTTGTGCATGTTCCTTGGTTTATTAAGAGATATTGATACTATAAGGAATTATGCATGTGGAGCTGCTTTGTTATGCCATCTGCATTACAACTTCAAAGAATTTAAGAAATAAAGAATCCGGGGGAAGAATCCAAAAATTATGAACTTTTGTTCTCCTTTTCTCACGGTAATTATTATTTTTGTTTATTTCCTTCATTGCTATAATTTATATAAGTTAATGAATTATAACTTACATTTCTCATTTGTGTGCAGTTTTTCTTCTACGAACACTTGCCAATAATTTCACGCACTCTCTATGATTTTGATATTTATCGAGAGAATTTTGAAGATGGAGAGTTAATGTTGACATTTCCATTAATGGTTGGATGGTCTCATTCAGTGGAGCGAAAGTCTAGAAATTCTTATATAAAAAAGAAAAAAGAAGAATTTGATTTGATGCTTACAAATGACAATGTAAGTGTATTTCATTTATGTGAATTTTTAGTTATTCTACTCGAATTTTCTTTAAATTTCCATCAACTTTGTTATTTTTTCTTGTTAGATTATGTGGCGGCCATATGCTAGATTGCGTGACAATTTTCTACCTGACTATCTTGTTGCGCTATCACGCATAATATTGATATACTTTGAGAAATTAGCATATCATAGGCCATACTTGTGCCCATTGAAGTTGAACTTACAAGCTAACTTAGTTCTAGTTGAGCCATCATTGACCATTGTAAATAAGAAGCGCACTACTTCTCAAAAATTTGATTGGAATGTGAGACGTGCTGATTTCGTAATGTTGTGGGAGGAGAGAAGATTAAATTTGATTGTGAATAGAAATGGTAATTTATTTATCTTTTCCTCTTTTTTTAGTTTGTTAAACTTTACTTATGTTTTAAACTAATCACATTCATTTTATGTTTGGTAGATATGGGTGAAAATCAAGGGACTTTGACTTTTAATGGTAATTTATGAATGTTTTAGTTAATGTTAATTTTTTGGTGTTCTAGATTGTTTATGTTTAGTTTTTTTAGTAGAAGATCAAACGCCAATGATGCCAGGAAGCCCCAACTATGATGTGTCCGTGAATCATATGGGTATTTTATCTTGCCCTTTTTTTAGTTTGTTAAATTTTATTTATGTTTTAAACTAATCATGTTCTTTTTATGATTGGTAGATGTGAGTGAAAATCAAGGGGCTTTGACTTTTAATGGTAATTTATGAATATTTTGGGTAATGTTAATTTTTTGGTGTTCTAGATTGTTTATGTTTAGTTTTTTTAGTAGAAGATCAAACGCCAATGATGGCAGGAAGCCCAACCCATGATGTGTCCGTGAATCAGATGAGTATTTTATCTTGTCCTTTTTTTTTTAGTTTGTTAAATTTTATTTATGTTTTAAACTAATCATGTTCTTTTTATGTTTGGTAGATGTGGGTGAAAATCAAGGGGCTTCGACCTTTAATAGTAATTTATGAATGTTTTGGTTAATGTTAATTTTGTTGGTGTTCTAGATTGTTTATGTTTAGTTTTTTTTTAGGAGAAGATCAAACGCCAATGATGCCAAGAAGCCCCAACTATGATGTGTCTGTGAATCGGATGGGTATTTTATCTTGTTATTTTTTTTAGTTTGTTAAATTTTATTTATGTTTTAAACTAATCATGTTCTTTTTATATTTGGTAGATGTGGGTGAAAATCAAGGGGCTTCGACTGTTAATGGTAATTTATGAATGTTTTGGTTAATGTTAATTTTTGTTGGTGTTCAAGATTGTTTATGTTTATTTTTTATTTTTTTGTAGAAGATCAAACGCCAATGATGCCAGGAGGAGTTTATGTTGATGAAAGTCATGATGAAGATCAAACTCTTACTAAGCCTTTCGAAGTAAGCTCCAACTATGATGTGCATGAGGATGGCATGAGGAGATGCAGGAGGACGAAGACAACTCCTCTATTGTTTGTTCCATTTATGGTCGATTCAGCCATCCGCAAAATTCACAAATGTGGCAATTGAATGACAGTAGTGGTATTTCATAGGATTGGTTTTATGAACAATGTTATGAGTAAAGGAAGATTTTATAGAATTTAAACAGAAAATACATTTGGCAAGTTAGCATTAGAAAGGGAAAAAAAATGAAAAATAGGACAGCACTAGTGATGGCAAAAAAATCCGCCCCAAATCTGAGCATGAAACTGAACCCACCCGGAACCCGCCCCGTTTCCATCTCTAGGCAGCACAGCACCCTATTCAATCTATGCTAAAAATTCCTAAGTCCAGCTTTATTGTATAAGGATGGAAAGAGGGCCTAGATGTTGGATTCAAAAATGCAGGTAAAACATTTACCTGATAGAACCTAACATAGGGTTCTATGTAACTGAACTTAATTACAGACCTTTTGCTGCATTGGGACCTATGAACTCTGGCTACCTGATTGAACCTAATGTAGTTTAGCTTAGGGTTCGAGGTTTCATGTTTGGAACAAGAAGGATTCACGTCGGTCTTTCGCAGGCTGTTCGTCGGAGTCATGCTCGAGCGGATGAAATAGAAACATCCAAGCTCGACCTTCACCCCACTGTCGCTCCAGCTACAGACCCTTTGCTCGAGCTACGTATTTTTCGGTCAGACCTAATTTCGAATTTCGAAACTTTTTCTTGGTCCATTCAACCTAAATTGTCCAACCTATAAATAGAGGCACCGCGTTTTCTACGAACAAAAGATTGAACATACTACTTTCAAGAGAGAATTCATCCTACACAAGATCAAAAGTTCAATCCTTCAATCTATATGCGCTCTTCATATTAAAAACATCAAAGCCATCAAATCAAACATTGGATTACATTCTTCGCTTGAGACTATCAAAAAGATTGTTTCATCAACTTTGCTGCATTGAATATCAAGGAAGAATTTGAAGAACGAGGAGTTCTTGGAGAAGATCTACAGAAGATAAACTGCATAAAGAGTCATGATTGGAGTTCGTATACTTATTCCAGGAGGACTACTTTACAAAGAAGAGCTAGGATTGGTGTTATTGTGCACATTCTAGGAGAGTTGCTTCAAACTTCAGACAAGAGATTAGAAAGCTTGTGTCGTCAACTTTGCGGTAGTATCTATTTTCAGGTGTATTTATGTAATATTATTTTAAATGTTAAAAAATTTAATTATAGTACGGAACGGAACCGAACCGAACGGAACCGAACCGAACCGAACCCGAACGGTTCCAAAATTATATTTGGAACCGACGGTTCCATTTACTAAATACCCGAAAATTTCTGGAACCGAAAAAAATCGAACCGAACCGAACCGACCCGTGCCCACCCCTAAAATAAACTCTAAATTGTTCAACTAATAAGATTTAATAAGAAAAAAAATTATTAATTTGTTTAGAAAAAAATAAAAGAAATTGATTTATCCAATATAAAAAAAAATTCGGTTCTTGGTCGAGAACCGAGAACAGAACCGAACCATTCGATTTTCGATTTCGGATACCCGAACGGGTATTTCATTCAAAAAAATCCGCTCGATTCGGTTCGATTCAATTTGATTCGAACATTTTGTCAAACCCTACTTCTGAATGAATTGAGAGAAATATTCAAAAGTGTCCCACTAAAGGACTCTTAAGAGAACCCAGCGTTGGGTTCTCGATTCAATGCAACCGTCAAATCAAATCAAGTCAGTCAGGATATTGAAAAGTCCATGAGATTTGTCAAATCAAATAAAGTCACGTCAGGATATTGAAAAAATCTACGAGAATTGGGTTCTCGATTTTCCACAACTTGAAAAAATCAAATCATGTTTAAAGTGTAGACTTTGACGAGCTTATCGATGCATATAACAATGGTTGGATTGTGTGTTGATTAATATAAATTATTTGAATGCCGTCGAGAGTGTTTTGGCTGAAAGGGATATATTGATCTCAGTTCACAATTCTTTTGTGGTTAGCAGATGTTACTGGCAAAGCATTTTACTTATCTTTTGAAACGGTCATCACTTTTTAACTTTAACGTCTCATGTTTTAGGTTCATTTCTTCTATTCATTTACTTGTCGGGGAAATTTGTACCTCGTAAAGGAGTACTTGAACAGTGGAGATCTGTGTTCAGTACTGAGAAATCTTGTAATGGAGTACTTGTGAGTTTTTTTTTTTTTTTTGTGTACCAGAACAAATCCCAAATGGAGTTTTAATTTTAAGAGATAGTGGAAATTGCAAAGAATGTCCACTTTCTTCTAGCCACTTGCAAAAATGACAACTTTCAAAAATCCTTACAAAAATGGCCATTTTGGTATATTTTAGACCAAAATACCCATAGTCAACAATTTATGATTCCATTCAAGGACAATAAAATAGACATTTTTGCAAAAAAAAAATATGGGCTAATGAAATTTTGACACATAACATGCTTATTACAAATGACAAGATGTCAAATCGCAATTAATACTATTTTTTGCATTAACACAGAAATGTCGAGAACGACATTTCAAGTGTAGAGAAATGTCATGTTTGAAATGAAACGTCCTTCTAGACATTTAATATGTCGAGAATGACGTTTTGAAATGCCGAGAACATTTAATATTTTGATTTGACGTGTGTACTATTGAAATATAAAACGGGATTCAAATGTCGAGAATGACATTTTAAATGTCGAAAATACGTAGAGATTCAAATGTCCTTTTTTTTTTCATTAATGGCATAATAGACACTTTAGTATTAAATTTGAAAATTGGACACTTTTCAACTCACACCCTTAATTATGGACATTCTTGAAAATACCCCTTTAAGATATTATGAAGGCAGGGAAACCAAAAACCAAATATGAGAATTTTCGACAAAATGAACAGTCATTTGACAAACTGAACGGTAATTTAAGCATGGAGACCTCAGAATACAATTCCAATTATCCTTGACCAAGGAGTATCCAAAAACTATATTGGCATATGACTCACACTTCAGCTCTTAGAAGATAGTTTTTCCTTGGCCTTCTGAATCTTCAAAACCTTCTTCACAATCTTTTGCTCTTCCACCAAGAAAGCTCTGATGATCCTCTCTCTTACAGCACCTCCAGACAACACTCCACCATAAGCACGGTTCACAGTCCTTCGATTTCTTGATAATCTAGACCTCTTGTACTCGGCAGGTCTCAAGTGAGGAATCCCTTGGATTCTCTTTCCAGTAACAGGGCACTTTGGGCCACTAGCCCTCTTTTCGTGCTTTGGTACACTAATTTCCCTCCTGGTGTTTTGAGGATCCGGTGTTGGTTGGATTTAGTGGCATAGCTGTCCCGCTTCCTGTATGTGAGGCGTTGCACCATTTCCTCCTTATTGGGTCCTCGGGTTCAGGTGGTGACTCGGCGCTTTGAGTACTTGTGAGTTGTTATTGGTGACTGGCTATTTTTTCAAATCTCCCTTTCAGCTCACATTATATTGACATATATGTTTGAGGTTGTAATATGACCAGGTGCTTGCTTTGGAATATATGCACTCTCTGCCTGTGGTTCATCGTGATCTAAAGCCTGATATTTTGTTGATTGCATATGATGGTCATATGAAGGTAATTTTTGTAGTTTTTGGTTAATGATCTGTTTCCTTTTCCTTTCAATGTCAGTCATGAAGAGGATTTGTCAATTCATATAAAAAAACTGGGTATTTGCCTCTTGTAGATTGTTGTATTGCTTTCTAATTTTTGTCAGATTTTCGAACTAAATATGTAGTTTGCGCAAGGAGCAACCACCAAAAAAGGACATATCTTTAAATAAGAAAACAGGTAGAAGTTATCAGTTTAGTTTTGACATTTTTAAAGTTCATGTTAATATTCCCAGTGGGCTTCATTGGATCATCCAACTCTCAGGGACATGAGTTGAACCACCCTTCTAGGTCTAATTATGTATACGAATCTGCTACTATATCTTGCTTCTTCTACATGCAATGACAGCTGAATTTTTATATTTTAATCTCGAAATGCTCCAAAGAATATATATTCTATTTCTCTTTCAGTCTTTCCCATAACCAATGTTTCTTATTGTTAATGATATCGTTTCAGCATTCTACTAGCACCGCCAGTTTGATGTGAATCAATTAAATCACCTAGCCAGAGTTCATGGGTCCCAATGCGGCAAAATGTCTGTAATTAAGTTCAGTTAAATAGAACGTTAGGTTCTCTCAAGTAAATGTAATAAAAAAAAAATGTTAGATGTTTTACCTACATTATTGAATCCAAGCCCTCTTTCCATCCTAATACAATAAAGCTGCACTTAGGAATTTTTAGCATAGACTGAACAGGGTGCTGTGCTGCCTAGAGAGGGCAACGGGGCGGATTCGGGCGGGTTTTTTTGCCATCACCAGTGTTGCCCTGTTTTTTTTCCCCTTCTAATGCTAACTTGCCAAATGTATTTTCTATTTAAATTCTATAAAATCTTCCTTTACTCATAGCAGTGTTCCTAAAACCAATCCTATGAGATACCACTTACCGTCATTCAATTGCTGCGTTTGTGAAGTCCGCGAATGTTATTGAATCAACAATAAATGGATCAAACAATGGAGTCGTTTTCTTCGCCCTCTTGCCTCTCCTCATGCCATCCCCATCCAAAGCATAGTTGGGGCTTACTTCGAAAGGCTCAGTAGGAGTTTGATCTTCATCATGACTTTCATCAACATCAACTTCTTCTAGCATCATTGGCATTTGATCTTCTACTAAAAAAAAACTAAACATAAACAACCTTTAACACCAAAAAATTATCATTAACCAAAACATTCATAAATTACCATTAACAATCGAAGCCCGATGATTTTCACCCACATCTACCAAATATAAAAAGAATATGATTAGTTTAAAACATAAATAAAATTTAACAAACTAAAAAAATGACAAGATAAAATACCCATCAAATTTACAGACACATCATAGTTGGGGCTTCTTGGCATAGTTGGGGTTTGATCTATTAAAAAAAAAAAGCTAAACAGAAACAATCTAACATTAACCAAAATATTCATAAATTACCATTAAAAGTCGAAACCCCAAGATTTTCACCCACATCTACCAAACATAAAAAGAACATGATTAGTTTAAAACATAAATAAAATTCAACAAACTAAAAAAAGGACAAGATAAAATACCCATCTGATTCACAAACATATCATAGTTGGGGGTTCCGGACATCATTGGCGTTTGATCTTCTACTGAAAAAACTAAACATAAACAATCTAGAACACCAAAAATTTAACATTAACCAAAACATTCATAAATTATCATTAAAAGTCGAAACCCCTTGATTTTCACCATCTACCAAACATTAAAAAAAAAATGATTAGTTTAAAACATAAATAAAATTTAATAAACTGAAAAAAAAAATGACAAGATAAAATACCCATCCGATTCACAGACGCATCATAATTGAGGATTGCTTCGAACGGCTCAAGAGGAGTTTGATCTTCATCATGACTTTCATCAACCTCAACTCCTCCTAGCATCATTGGCGTTTGATCTTCTACTAAAAAAAAATAAATATACGCAATTTAGAACACCACACAATTAACATTAACCAAAACATTCATAAATTACCATTAGAAGTCGAAGCCCCTTGATTTTCACCCACATCTACCAAACATAAAATGAATACGATTGGTTTAAGACATAACTACAATTTAACAAACTGAAAAAAGATAAATAAATTATCATTTCTACTCACAATCAAATTTAATCTTCTTTCCTCCCACAACTTAACGAAATCAGCATGGCTCACAGTCCAGTCAAATTTCTTTGAAGCAGTGCCCTTCTTATTGACAATGGTCAATGATGGCACAACTAGAACTAAGTCAGCTTGTAAGTTTAACTTCAATGGGAACAGGTCTGGGCCTATGATATGCTAATTTCTCAAAGCATATCAATATCCTGTGTGATAGTGTAACATCCATCTGTCGAACAAGATAATCAAGTAAAAAATTGTCACGTAATCTAACATATGGCCGCCACATAATCTAACAAGAGAAAATAACAAAGTTAATGGAAAGTTAAAGAAAATTCTAGTAGAATAACTAAAAATTCACATAAATGAAATACACTTACATTGTCATATGTGCTCATCAAATCAAATTCTTATTTTTTCTTTTTTATATAAGAATTTCTAGACTTTTTCTCCACGAATGAGACCATCCAACCACTAATGGAAATGTCAACATTAACTCTCCATCTTCAAAATTCTCTCGATAAATATCAAAATCATAGAGAGTGGGTGGAATTATTGGCTAGTGTTCGTAGAATAAAAACTGCAAACAAATGAAAAATATAAGTTATAATTAATTAACTTACATAAATTATAACAATGAAGGAAATAAATAAAAATAATGATTACCGTGAGAAAAGGAGCACAAAAGTTCATAATTTTTGGATTCTTCCACCGGATTTTTTCTTTCTTAAACTCTTTGAAGCTGTAATGCAGATGACATAACAAAGCAGCTTCTCATGCATAATTTCTTATAGTATCAATATCTTTTAATAAACTAAAGAAAATGCAAGACACTGATCTACAATCTCTCGGGGGAGTCAAAAAATACCTAATAACTTATAGTACATATGCCCTAATACAAGGTCTAAACCAGCTCCTATTATTATAGGAGGTATGTTCTTATAATACATTAAATTTTTAGTAACCATGTCACATTTGTTCTTCTCGTGTAAAAATCTATAAGACAACAATAATTCACTACAAAATATTCGGACATTCGTCCACTTTGAAATCACGTCCAATTACGGGAATGCCATTTATGGGAAATTCCGTCATCCTAACATCTTCTGAAGTGGGGGTTATTCTTTGTTCACCAATAATAAAACATGATTGCTCAATCGAATATCAATCAACTAATGCTAACAAAATATCTGTAGTTGTCGTATTATCTCTATTGATTTTGCTAACGTGATCAAAACCCGAGCCTACAAGTCTCTATAGAACCTCGTCGGTCGGTTGCCATTCTTTGAGCATTCTCAAGTGTGTTCTATTCTTGTACATTTTGACAACAACAATCTGCCAAATTCAACAATCAAAACAAAAATTAAACAAAAGAAATAAAAATGGCAATCATAGAAATAATTAGACTTTAACATTCTTTCTCATATCAAAATGTACAAGAATAGAACACACTTGAGATTGCTCAATGACATTCCCGTAATTGGACGTGATTTCAAAGTGGACGAATGTCCGAATATTTATAGTGAATTATTGTTGTCTCATAGGTTTTTACACGAGAAGAACAAATGTGACATTACTAAAAATTTATTGTATTATAAGAACATACCTCCTATAATAATAGGAGCTGGTTTAGACCTTGTATTAGGGCATATGTACTATATGTTATTAGGTGTCTTTTGACTCCCCCGAGAGATTGTAGATCAGTGCCTTGCATGTTCCTTAGTTTATTAAAAGATATTGATGCTATAAGAAATTATGCACGGGAAGCTGCTTTTTATGCCATCTGCATTACAGCTTCAAAGAGTTTAAGAAAGAAAGAATCCGGTGGAAGAATTCAAAAAATTATGAACTTTTGTGCTCCTTTTCTCATGGTAATTATTATTTTTATTTATTTCCTTCATTACTATAATTTATGTAAGTTAATTAATTGTAACTTATATTTTTCATTTGTGTGCAGTTTTTCTTCTACGAACACTAGCCAATAATTCCACCCACTCTCTAAGATTTTGATATTTATCGAGAGAATTTTAAAGATGGAGAGTTAATGTTGACATTTCCATTAATGGTTGGATGGTCTCATTCGTGGAGCGAAAGTCTAGAAATTCTTATATAAAAAAAGAAAGAAGAATTTGATTTGATGAGCACATATGACAATGTAAGTGTATTTCATTTATGTGAATTTTTAGTTATTCTACTAGAATTTTCTTTAACTCTCCTTTAACTTTGTTCTTATCTCTTGTTAGATTATGTGGCGACCATATGTTAGATTACGTGACAATTTTTTACTGGATTATCTTGTTGGGCAGATGGATGTTACGCTATCACACACGATATTGATATGCTTTGAGAAATTAGCATATCATAGGCCCAGACTTGTTCTTATTGAAGTTGAACTTACAAGCTGACTTAGTTCCAGTTGTGCCATCATTAACATTGTCAATAAGAAGGGCATTGGTTCAAAGAAATTTGACTGGACTGTGAGCCATGCTGATTTCGTTAAGTTGTGGGAGGAAAGAAGATTAAATTTGATTGTGAATAGAAATGGTAATTTATTTATCTTCTTTCAGTTTGTTAAACTAATCATATTCATTTTATGTTTGGTAGATGTGGTGAAAATCAAGGGGCTTTGACTTCTAATGGTAATTTATGAATGTTTTGGTTAATGTTAATTGTGTGGTGTTCTAAATTGCGTATGTTTAATTTTTTAGTAGAATATCAAACGCCAATGATGCTAGGAGGAGTTGGGGTTGATGAAAGTCACGATTAAGATCAAACTCCTATTGAGTCGTTCGAAACAAGCCTCAATTATGATGCGTCTGTGAATCGGATGGTATTTTAATAATAATTTATGAATGTTTTGGTTAATGTTAATGTTAATTTTTGGTGTTTAAGATTGTTTGTTTTTTTAGTAGAAGATGAAACGACAA